CCCCACGCGCCCCACGCGCCCCACGTACCCCACGCGCCCCACGCGCCCACGTACCCCACGTGCCCCACGTGCCCCACGCGCCCACGTACCCCACGTGCCCCACGTACCCCACGCGCCCCACGTACCCCACGCGCCCACGCACGCGCTCCGGGAGGGAGGAAGCGCTGTGACCCTCACACACAGCTGAGCCCCGCAGGCTCACGCACTGAACTCAGGGCCAAGGTGAAAGTGCAGCCACAGGGGCCTTAGGTCACGCAAGGCGTTTCCACTCGATCCTAAGGGAAAGTAGGTGAACAACTTGGAGCAGGAACACGCACCGTTGTGTTTGAAAGGGAAAACGCTGTGCCTGGGGGAAGAACGGGTTGCAAGGAAATGCAGCTGGAGGGGGAGGACCGGTCCCAACACTCGAAGATGGCGGAGGCCTGCGGTGGGATGGTGGCGTGGGGGTGGGGGGAAGTGAGAAGCAAGATCACAGGACTTGCCCGCGAACAGGTGATGGAGGTGAGGGGGAAGGGGGGCCGGACGTAACTGCGTCTCTGTGGCGGGGAGCACCGGCGTGAGGCAGGTGATGGGGAGCCCTGACCACAGGACCGTGGCGAGGCCCACGGAGCCCCCGAGGGGGGCTGTCTCCCAGTTGGAGGTGGATCGGACGCTACAAAGGACCGGCGTGTGGAGGCCATCAGTATACGGATGGAGGGGATGAGTTCCGGACTCTCCCAGGGAAAGGCTGCAGGGCGGGAAGAGAGCACGCAGGTGAGAATCCGGGGGAAGCCCCGTATTTAGAGAAGAGCAGAGGAAGCGAGTCTGACAAAGACATGGCCAGTGGTGTAGGAGGAAAATGAGAAAATCGGCAAGGAGGAGGTGACCAGCAAGCGTTACTACATCAGGAAGTGCCGCCGAGGCCAGTCGGCCTCCACGGGACCATCGAGGGCCCACCACCATCTTTCTTCCCTGGACTCCCGCACCGGCCTCCTGACTGGTCTCACCTCGTTTGGTCCCTTTCTAACTTTAAAACTCTCACTTTGCCCTTAGACTGAAATGTGTGGACCGTTTCATGCCCTTCCAGGCCTTGTGTGATTTCGCCCCTGGCCACTCCCTCCCCTTCCTTTCTTTCTCATCTTCTTCGATCCTTCAGCCCCGGGTGAACATTAACTGCCTCGAACACAGCGAGGTCTTTATTGCCCCAGGGCCTTTGCACTAGCTGTTGTGTCTGCCAGAAAACTTCTTTTTCAAATGGCTGGGCCTTCTTCTCATCCTACACGTCCTACTTTAACCCCCTCCTCCTCAAAAAAGTCTACACTGGCCCCTCTGTCTACACTAGGGTCCCCCACAATTTTCTATCATAGCATCGTATTTATGTTTTCCTTCTTAATGCAAACCACTATTTGTGATTTGGGGTCTTATTCTTTTTCTTTTTTTTCTTTCTTGATAATAAGTAAGAGGCCAGTACCTGATTTGTCCTGCATTATAGCCCCGCACCTAGTTCAGGGTATCGTTTAGGGATGAATTAAGCTGTAAGTAACAGATAACTGAACCAACCGTAGCTTAAACTAATAACGGTTTTATTTTCTCACATAGCAAGAAATCTCGCGGTAGGTTCATTAACTCAGTGCTTACATCTCTTCCACTTGCCTTGCTGTGTCCCTCATGACTGCAGTGTGGCTGCTACAGCTCCTGCCATCACACGTTCATCCATGTTCAAGGTAGGAAAAAAGGGAGAGGAGGAAAGGCCGTGTCAGGAGTATCGTCTAATTTTGTGAGGAAACAAAAGCAGAAGCTCCCCCAGCAGATTGCCACTTAACACCTAATGGGCCAGCACTGACATAGGGCCCCTATGCCTGCGGCAGAGATGGGGAAGTGCGTGTGTTTAACTTTCCAGCCTCTGTGGTGGGGAGCATTCAGAGTGGCTTCGGAGTAGGTCGTCACCAGGAGGTTCTGCAAGGGGACAGTGAGTAGGGCTGTATACCTGGAGTCAAGAATTTGGGACAGTGAGAAATGAGAGACAGCCGGAGAGATGGGTTGAGGCCAGATTGCAAAGGATCTTAAAGGGTTTAGTTCTACATTCTCACTTCTTTTTTTAAAAAGAAATTTTAATGTTTATTTTATTTTTGGGGGGGGGGAGGGGCAGAAAGAGACAGAGACACAGAATCCATTCCAGGCTCCGAGCACAGAGCCCAATGTGGGCTCAGACTCACAAATCGTGAGCTTATGACCTGAGCCGAAGTCAGGCGCTTAATCAACCTAGCCACCCAGGCGCCCCCTCTACTTTCTTACTTCTGAGCTGATGCAAATGGCTCAGGCGCACTTTGCTGCCTTCCCCTGCCTGTTACCGCATCTCTCCTCTCTCCCCCTTTGAAAGCCCAACACAGTGGCGCATCATCAAAGTATGGAAGGGATTGATTTTCAGTCCCCTACCCCACAGTGAGGACATAGGGCGACTGGACGGCAGTATAGTGAATTAAGAAAAATGCGGGACAGGAGGGAAGGAAATAAAACATTTAGCTTCAGTCTGGACTTAATAATGAAAAACAGAACCACAGAAAGACCAGGGCTTCTAATTGCCAATCTGGGAACTAGTGGAGTCATCTCTTCTCCTGACTCCCAAGTACTTTCTTGTCTGTATCTTGCCCAAAATAGAACTCTACGAAAAGGCCCTCTGGCCCCATCTCGCTCCTTCTCTCCCTAGGGTCTGGAGTAGAGCATGTGGTTAATGTTTTAGATTATTGAGTAATGAAGTTAGAAACCAGGAAACAGTACAGAGTCCAGATATTAACAAATATCTAAACTATGCTCAGGGTTTGATGCCCACAATCACAGCCTGGAACTGCATGTACAGGGATGTTCTGCCTTCAGCCAGAAGCCATCTTCCTGTGGCACCAATGCCCTGGTACGTTTTGTGAGCACCACCCAGTAAGCTTTGTCCTGTACATAAGGCAGCCCGACACCACACTGTCCTGCTTACGCGAGTGCTTAATGGCCGTCAGGTGACTGTGGCTATGAATACAGCCGAACATTTGGCTGAGCTCAGGGAACTGGTCATCACTTGTTTAAGGAAGACCTCCTTCGTTTACATTTGGCTTCTCCACTCTTGAGTAAAATTACTTTGATCTTGCAGTAATTACAGCTTCAGAGCATGCCACATTGATGGGTATTTATTTGATGGAATGCCATGGATCTTGCCTTTGATTGAATTTATATTCTTGACTAGCTCTAGGTTTTCTCTTTAGAGAGATTTTTTTTCTTTGGCAGTCGCCATTCTGTAGAAATCTGGGGAGAGACCCGAGCGATAGGCACAAATGCAGGACGGAGAATCCATATGTGTCAGGTGGAAATGCCTGAGTGGACTCAAAGTGTGGCAGGAATCGATATGGGCTATGTAGAGCATTCTCACCATCAAACTTCAGGGAAAACTTGAATTTAGTTTTCCTTGGCAATGAATTCATTAGACCC